AACTACATGAATGAGGTAAAATATTACCACTCCATTACTATTGTCAATGATAACACGATCCTTGAGATCATTGTAAGAATCATATGCCTCCACAAGTTTGCCAGCAGCAATTTGTTCGTTTATTTTAATCGCTAACCTGTTTTCACAGTTTAATTGAACTAATAAGCCACAAATATGGGGGAAAAAATAAATAAATAAATAATTTACATTAACCCTTTTGTACAAGAAGTATAAGTGTGACCTTTGTGCCTTATGTAGACCATTGTTATCCAGCCTAGAGACATCTCTTAATACAGGACCCCATGAAAGCTGCATTAATTAATTAATCATGAATACTGATTAATGTAATTAACTAGATAATTATAATAAATTGTTAAGTAAGATCAATATATATAACATACTTCTCTGATTAATGCTATTAGATTAACAAAGATTTTCACTTCAAATTGAGTTTGAATACTTACCACTTGAACTCCTGGTGATATCCAGGCAGACCCCATTATAACTCCTGTTTAATCCAAAAAACAAATTTATATATATTTAGCATGTTTTCTTAAATTTTTAATTAAAAATAAAAACTACTATATGGACGCTAATAGTTATGATTTTATTATTATGTAAAATTCCACGTGTTAATAATTGATCTGTCTTATACCTCCGAGACGATTGACCTTTAATTCTCCATCCTTGATAGCATCGAGTGCTGATAAACCCAAAGTAACAGCTAATTTTCCTCCATAAGACTCCCCTTGAATATAAAGCTCGGTTTTCTGTAAATCCTTGAGTCTTTCAAAAACATTAATCAGCAATTTGAGTAAATCATCTGTAGCAGCCTCATCTGTTTTGACCAACAATGTTGGATCTTCCACATAACTATAACCTGTACCAACTGGACTATCCTACATAAATTAACAACAAAAAGTAAAAAATATTAAAAAAAAAAATTAAAATTAATGAACAATACAAAACTTTGATATTGTGAGGATTAATTGGGAAGGATATTTAATTACCACAAACAGTAGGTGTGCTTTTTTCAGCCATGTTTGATTTCTAGGATTCAAATATATATCCATTGGTCCAACTTCTCCAAAATTGCTAAACCCGACTGAAGATAGACCCTGTAAAAATTCGTTGAAAATTAAATAAATTAATTAATTAAATGAGTCTTTTAGATGTATAAATGTTTCAGTATTACGCCATTTACTATATTATCAAACACTAATTGAGGCAATATATTTTTGTAATAAACTATTCCCACAATTACTCACTATATGTATATCATGTAATGTGAGATCACGGCAAAGGGAAGAAAAAAAAATAAACAATTAATAAAGGGACCATTCTATTATATATCCTAAGTTTGACAAAATTGCTAAAAGAAGAAATAAAAAATTACTGACAGGTCCACCCGCTAGGCAGAGAATGGTAGGTAACGACTTTGTTGAACTGTGAGCGCAATTTTTGTAAAGCAACCAAAACATATGAGCTTCTGAGAAATAAAATATAAAAAAAAAAATAGTAATTATCAGAATGTATATATAATGCAAGATATTATTTCCCTTATATATAGGCCAATTAGGAAAAAATAAAATAAAATAAAGGGAAATAGAGAAATGATGAGGCTTACTAGGCCTAACTTCAACATATCCCGAGAATTGTTTGAATCCAATTTGTGGACATCCAGCATTTACGGCTAAACTACCATGAAATAATGAACTCCATAACACAACTGAAAAAATAACGGAAAAAACATGCAACTTTTCCATATATATATATATNATTTTGACTTTTAGCATTTTACTAAAAGAATAAATGAAATTCAAAAGTAAAACTCAAAAAGGGATTCTACTTTTTAGGCACATAAAATATGTATTAATAGTATATGGTAAGCACATGGACTTAGTAGACCTTTTCCTCGTTTCTAGAGCATAAGATTTTTTTTATTTTGTTTTTAATTAATAATATAAAGGGAATGTCTCAACATGGTCTGCTTTAGGAAAAAGTGAAAGAAAAATATAAAATAAGAAAGCAATCTATTAGGGCTCGTTTACTTTGAGGGATGGGATAAGACTAAATAATCGGGTTACCTTTACATGTCAGCATTTAGTTCCATATTTACTTTGAGGGATGGGATAAGACTATGGTGTGTTTAGTAATTAAATCAACTTTGAGGGGTACAATGGTCCATTTGCATCCAGTTTTGAGGACAAAAAAGTCTTGAACAGTGCATGATTAATTAATCATCTCTTCTTGGTGGGATGAAAATAATCTGCCAACACATTATTTCAACGTGGGCCCCGCCACCACATGTGATTCCAACTCATATAATCCTGTCCCAATCAATTAATGTAAACAAGGGATATTGAGGGACAATTCATCTTATCAATCTAATCCCTCAAAGTAAACGAGCCCTTACTATATAATAAAGAGAAGAAAAATATAATTTTTTTGCCGCTTATTTTTTCATCTTTTACCAATAAAAGAATTTATTTTTTGAAATTTTTGAGAGAATCCCGCCCATGATTCTTATTCAAATTTTTTGAATTTTTTTAAAAAAAAATTAAAAATTCAAACATTTAAAGGAAAGATTACATGTAGATTTTTTGTGTACATTCTATTTTATCTTAACTTCCATATAAATACATTCCTAACAACTAATTAATATAATTTTTTTATCCAAGTTAATTAATCGGGTATTTTAAGATATAATTAATGTATTATCTTATTTAGTTAGTTATACGATTACACTTACAGATATAATTACTAAAATATTAGTTATTTTAGAAAATTTTAAAAAATAAATTTGAATTATCATACCTTTTACTTTATATAAAATTTGAAATTACATATTTTAATATATTAATAAACGTTTATTATTTATTTTTTTCCTTATGTGATATAAGCTAATTCGATATTACATTTTTAAATTCAAACATTTAAAGAAAAAGATCCTAAACAGATTTTTTTGGGTAAATTCATTTTTTATCTTGATTTTCATATAATCACATTCCTAACAAATTAATTACTATTTCATTTTTGATCTACATTACCTAACAAAAAAATTTTATGATATAATTAATATAATATCTTAATTAATTAATCATTTATCTAACCAGATATATTTCTCTAACAAACTTGTCAATTTTTTTGAAATTAAAATGGTATGATTATTCCTACGGAGATACTTACAAATATATTAAACATTTAGAAACTTTAAAAAAAAAAATGAGTTATCCTTCCTTTTACTTTATTTGAAATTCTAAGTTATATTTTTAAGTATATTATTATTGATTTTTTTTACGTGTAAATATTTATTATTTATTATCTAAGTGATAAATATTATCGATTTATCTCTTTAATAAATATTTATTATTTATTTTTTTCTTACCTGATATAATCTAAATTTGGTTATTAGAATTTTAAATTCAAATATTTAAAGGAAAAGATCACAAGCAGATTTTGGGTAAATTTTATTTTATCTTGATTTTTATATAATCACATTCCCAACAGAGTAATTAATATTATATTTTTTATCTATATTATCTAACTGATTTTTTATGATATAATTAATATAATATCTAATTTAATTAATTATTTATCTAACCGGATGATCTCGCTAACAAACTTGTCAATTTTTTCGAAAATTATTATTTATTTTTTTCTTACGTGTAAATGTTTATTATTTATTATCTAAATGATAAATATTATTGATTTATCTCTTTAATAAATGTTTATTATTTATTTTTTTTCTTACGTGATATAATATAAATTTGGTTATTAGATTTTTAAATTCAAACATTTAAAGAAAAATATCACAAGTAGATTTTTTGGGTACATTTCATTTTATATGAACTTCCATATAAGCACATTCCTAACAAACTAATTAATATAATTACATTTATCTAACCAGAATTTTTAAAATATAATTAATATAATATTTTAACTAGTTAATCTTTTGTCTAACCGAATTTATTTCATTAACAAACTTGCAAAAATTTTTTGAAATTAAAATAGTAAGATTATTCTTACGGGTATACTTACCAGAATATTAAACACTTTAAAAAAAATTTAAAACAAATTTATTCTGTCTTTTACTCTGATATTCAAAATTAAAATTTTTAATATATTCATAAACATTATTATTTATTTTTTTCTTATGTGATATAATCTAAATTTGGTTATTATATTTTTAACTTCAAACATTTAAAGGAAAAGACTACAAACAGATTTTTGGTTACATTTCATTTTATCTTAACTTCCATATAATCACATTCCTAACAAACTAATTAGTATATTATTTTTTATCCACATTTATATAATCGGATTTCTTAAAATATAATTAATATAATATTTTAACTTAGAGGAGCGGATTAGCGGCTACGAGAGGTCGAGCAGCTTTCGCCCCAACTTTAGAAGCGAAGTTCAGTCATAGAAGTCGAGATCTAATTAATCATTTGTATAACTTGACTTATCTCATTAACAAACTTGCCAATTTCTTTTTGAAATTTAAAAAAATTTGGATGATTTTAATTTGTAAAAAAGTAAAAAATAGCTTTACTTTAAAGTCTGGATTCTTTCCATTATTTTTTGTACATTAACAATCATATATTGGATAATTGATTTAAAAAAAAAAAAATCAAAACCGTAAGGTTTAATAATATTCCTTAAATAAAAAATATTGTATAAAGAGAAGTGTTTAATAATATATATTTTTCATTGTTTGTGATGATACAAGAAATACCTTACGTTAGTCAGAGGACACATGGCGATGATGTATGCTCCGACGTCCTCCTTGGTGCGTCTCCTTTGCTTTGACGCCTGCAAAATAGCCCCAGGGGTAGATCCTCCGATGCCTAAGTTAGAATCGGTTTTAGGTTTTTAAGATGGTGGATGTTGAATACGTAGAGAAGAGAATTTGTGCCTTACCTTGACCTAGGTCATTCTTTTATAGAGGTCGAATGACCTAGGTCTCCCCTATGCAGACGGAGGACTTCTCAGTCCGCTAGCTTAATGAACTATGGTCCACCAGTTAGGTCACATTTAGACCTTGGGTCTAAAGTGAGACTCCTCAGGCCTTTGGGCCTAAGGTGAGACTCATCGGGACCTTAGGCCTAACTTGAGGTTGGGCTTCAGCCTTGACCTTAGACACTAACGGTCCTCAGAGTACACATGTATTTATTCTCTCGAGTCACGTGTCGACTAATAAATGTATGTTTTTTCCCTTATCAGTTTGTATTTATTTTATTTCTATAATAGATGAGATGTGAAAAATATAAAGAATTATATTTAAAATAAAGTCTAAAAAAAAGTTTAAAATATAAACTCTTGTATCGCATGGGATATACACTCGGTATAGACTAATGAATTTTAAGTTACTTGAGTTCGGGCCTGAAATAATTTATATATGGACTCTTTCTAAATAAATCATGTCTTTATTAGTAGTAAAACCCATCATCAATATGGTGGAGGCCACCACGGCCGGCCGTCCACCCCATTTCCGTTCGGGCAATTGCTAAATTAAGTATAAATTAATATGAGAATTTTAACCATTATCAGATCTCCTCTTCATCTTCCGATCGGTGGACAAACCACTTGCAATAATATATTGAATATTTAACTAGTCACAAATTCTTGTGTTAGTTTGTCATATTTTTGTTACCAAAAATATATATTTATGGTTTGAAGTTTTCTAATTTTTATTTTTACTGTTATATAAAATTTGATATTTCCGTTTGAGAATATGCTAGACCTATATACCTCAATAGCCTAACTATTAATAATATATATTAGAAAACTCATAAATTTTGTTTAAGTATTTATATAAAATTTGAGGATTTGGTTAGATAATCATTCCCTTAAAGCATATCACTAAATCACGCGGATGTGGTTTTTTACTCATGAATTAGCACTAGTTAGTTATTTTAATATCTTATACGTCCCGGTGTTGCTCGATCCATTATATGGGTTTGGGTGGTTTAATCTCTAGCATTATTAGGGTTTATAGATATATATATGTCTCATATTTTAGTTGTCCTTTTTGTCTATTAGTGGGGAAAGTCGTCGGGAGAATTATGAAGAGAAAAGTTCAAAAGTTAGACTTTATATATATAAAGTATATATAAATAAGGGTAATGATAGCCACTTGCAATACCATTACTATTAATATACGGATATACGTGGAATTTAGACAAGTGACTTTCATATACAACTCTCGTGATGGTATGTGGACATCTGATGTTACTTTTAATCTACAAATATACAACAATCATAATAAGATGCGTCAATGAATGTGTCAAGATTTCATAATTTTGGAAACTATACAATTCACATCCGGTCACATTAACTAGTAGTATGTATGTTAATTCGCAAGGTGGATTGAGCGATAACCCAATTAATTTAATAATTTAATTCGAACAACTTTTAAATTGTTTAAAAATGATCGTTGATTCCAACTTTGAATATCTCGCAAATTGGATTGGGCGAGTACCTAATTTAAAAATTTAGTTCGAACATTTCTTAAGCTGGCTAAATACTCGTTGATTCCAACTTTGAACAGCCCGTTACAAAAATATGTATTTTACCAACGAAATAATCCGTTGGTAATCAAACTTTCGAATGGAATGCCAACAGATTACCAACGAATTCTTTTGTTGCTATATGGCTCGTTGTTAATTATTGACAAAGGAAAATACAATTCACTGGGAAAAATTACAACAATTGACCAACGAATTTACAACGGTAATGCTCTATAACATTGTGAAGATAT